TAATCAATGCTACATCAATCAACAAATAACACCAAATAGCAGCAACTCAACAAATACAAATTCATAAGCATTCAACTATGTTAATTCCTTGTAACACCAACACCTTATCAGATAACAGAACGATTCGCTAATCGATCATAAAAGTCATCACAAACATCCTTACACTAGATAGACAATCATAACACAAACAATTCACCGAACATTACCACGAGGTAGCTCTATGTGTTAGTTTTCCAATACTTTGAGCGGCTTCTCATTTGAACTTAAAGAATGAAAGTTACAACCAAAATTAACAAGTGAACCAACCAATTGAAACAGGGACCAATCGATTGACACAAGGGACCAGTCGATTGTCCCAGACTCCCTGACTTAATTTTTTTTCAAAATTTTGAAGGAACAAATCAGTTGGCATATGGGACTAATCAATTGTTCCTTAGTTTTTATATAAAAAAAATGTTTTTAAGAGGAACCGATTGATTGCTCCCTAGGACCAATCGATTAGTCTAAGTCAATTTTACCCAGAAACTTAATTTTTCACGTACGTTTAGTATTCCCCTTCATCCCTAACTTCCATACATGATCCTCGTCGATTTCCCCAAATATAAAAAGACCCAAAACATGTATCTAATAGTAAATCATATTATCATAATCATCAACATATACAACACATATTTTCATCACTATCTATAGCAATTCATCAATAATTTCAACAAAAATTTCATCATCAATCATGAATATAACTCAAGCATTCAAATATTCATCAATGAAAGAACTTCATATGTACACATTCATAACATTTCAAACATAGATTCAGTCATAGAGAGTCATGTACACACACAATCAACCAACAAATTTCCAAATTTTTATTACACAACAATGCATCTAATCAAATCATGGAACCCTAATGAGAGTAAGGACATCTCTTCTCTACCTCATCATGCAATACACACATATCGGTAGCCATTTTCCCCTTTTATCTTAGACTTTCAGCAACGATGATAATTCTAGTAACTCATATGGATTTCTCTTCTCAATTCTTAATTCACAACCGCTCTTTAATTTATCCGAAGGAAAAAGTCAAAAGAGGGAAAACCTATTTTTGCATCGTAAACACAATGCGGGGAGAGACCTAGGTAAGGGGTTGATTAAGCTTAGGGAAGGTATTAGCACCCTAAACTTCTGTAGTACTCTACAGGAACCTTTTGTTTATTGTATGCTTTTTTTATTTTATTACCTGCTTGATGTATATATTGAGCTAAGGGATAGAGTGACCTAAAAGAGACCTAAGGGTTAGACCTAAGTTTACTCGGCAAGACGTCGCATCTTGTGCCTACGTATCCTGGATAGGGAATGGAATCAGAGTAATCGTAGTTCCCCTCGAAAGGGAGGTTAGAAACTTCTTGACTGTGGTTAAGGTTTCAATGGGGAATAAACGTATCTTAAGGACAGCTTATGTGGAGTCTTAAAACTCATATTTCTACGTTGAATTTGTTAAATGAAATTAGGGTTAAATTAGGGATTCCACAGCGGGAAACCCTAAACAGAGTACAGCGACTCTTTGACCTAAAGTTAGGGTAAAGGGCGTTTTCGTCTACGGCGGAACACCTAGACTATTAGGGTTTGAAATGGTCAAAAATTAGGGTTATTGACTCGGCGGTCAAACGGCTAAACCTAATTTCTTCGGAAGGTTTTAACGGTAAATTATGCAAACATAGCAAGATATTATATGACAGAAATTAAAATGCAGAAAGTAAAGAAAGTGCCGCGACTGTCACTCGCGTAAATTACAAATCCCAAAAAAAAAAGATAAAATAAAAACCGCGAACATGGCCTCGCGTAAATTACATCCATGGAACAAAATAAATTGAAATAAATATGAATCGGAATCTATGTATAATCTGAGGAGAGAAAGAGAGAACATTAGTGAGAAGTTAGACGGAAATATGGCAAACACAGTTTATATTAAAAGAAACACGAAAATGCAATTTGAAATTTTTATTATTGTTTTGTTAATTTTTATATTTTGTTTTTATTAAAATTTTAGTCTTAATTTTAAAAGGTTTTAATTTTTAAATAAACAAAACTTTAGTTTTAACTTTTTATCTTTAGAAAGTTTTAATCTTAATTTAAAAAGAAAAGTTTTAATTTTAATTTTTAAAAGAGAAAGTCTTAAATTAAAAAAAAAAAACTCTAATCATAAGTTTTGTTTAAAAGAAGAAGTTTACATTTAAAAAAACTCGTTAGTTTTACTTTAAAAGAATGTTAGTTTTAAAATTTTAAAGAAAGTTCTAGTTTTAAAAAAAAAGTTTTAACCCTTTCTAACATGTTTTAATTTTTAATCTTTAAAACTTAATTTTAACATAAACAAAAAATGTTAATTTTAACACTTAAAAGAAAAAGGTTTTAATTTTAGGAGTGGGTTAATTTTAAGTTAGTAAAAATGTTTTCACTTAACTATAAAAGTGTTTTAAACACTGTTTATTTATTTAAAAAAATTGCTAGTGGTTAGTGTTTTAATTAAGAAAAAGTTTTAAGTTTTTACTTACTGTAATTATAACCAAAAACTGGTTTTAGTTATAATTCGGGTTTTTTAGTTAGAATAAAAAAAATGGTTTAAAAAAATGAAATGGAAGTTTAATTATTTGGAACTCTCGACCTCTCACACTCACAACTCCTCACACACGGTCTCTTGCCAATTGTGTCATTTTGTTCATTCAAAATAAAATGGCACTAGAAACCATGTAAATGTAGGACAAATTTGGCGTGCAACACCCTTTGTTCTTCTTGCCTCTTGTTTTCATGTACTATAAGAGTTCCCTAAATACCTAGACTATTCCATCTTTTAAAGTTTATATGGTTCTCAATGTTTCTCAAAATTTCACTCTTTGATCAACTTATTCCCATCTTCTCTCCTCTCACCTCATACTTTCCTCAATTCACACAAATGACCAAATTCTCTATTTTCACCAATTTTCTCCTTTTATCACTAGTATTAATTAAAATTCTATTATATTTTAATTATTCTTTTAATTTCTCCTACCAAGTTACTATCTCCTCACCACACCTTACTATTATCATTACACTCTAACAACATACAATCATATAATTCATTTAAAGGCATTGCAAACACCAAATAATTGTTAAGTATTAACAAGTGTGAGTAGGGTGGATAATAGTCCCACATTGGATAGAAATGTGGTGACTTGAGCATTTATAAGTGAGAGAACTCATACACCTACCACCTTAAGGTTTTGGGTGAGTATGTGGTGTGTCTGCTCTAGAAAAAAAGTCTCACTATGTTCAATGCTCCCTAGTTGAAAGTCCAACAATAATTAAATAAAATTTTCAATAATTTAATCGAATTTGGGGTCTTACACTCGACAAACTAGACCTATTTTGCCACCTCTAGCCATAACCATGATTCAAATCAAGTTCAAAAAAATATTATTTCAAGTCTTCTAATTTGTGACTCAAGTCATACATTGTTGACTTTTGACTTTTTATTAAATTCTTTAAAATAAAAAGACTAGAAAATGTTTCAACTTACGAGTGAATTAGGAATAATTGAGAGATAGATCTACTACGATAAAACAATAAAATGACAAATTAGAAAAATATTTAAAATGCTGACAAAAATATCAAAACATGTGAAATTTTACGCTTACCAACAAAGCAATCTTAAGAAGTGTTGTTGTGAAAGGTGAGGATTCAATAACAAAACCTCAACACAGTCCACCTATTTTGTCTTCAACCTTCAACCTCACATTCGACATATCTTGTGTTCGATTTATTAACCCATTTTGTCTTCTTCGACATGTAATCTCTAATTTTCATATTTATTTAACCCTATTTCTCTTTTGTTTTTTTCTTTCTTTTTTATTTATTTATAGAAATTTGTAAAAAATATTAATAAACTCTCGATCCCACAATAGGTGTATTTTTTCTTATTTTTATTTGTCTCTTTAGAATATCAATATGATATATATTATCCTGTCTTTTTCAAAATATGCGTCATATTTGACACTTTCATACAAATTAAAAAAATATTAAAAAAATAAAAGAAAGAGAATAGTGACTTTACCAAACTATCCTCATCGACTATTGGTGTATTCAAATTGACATTAATGCAAAGTTAGAAAACAATAAATTTAAAGTATTAATTAGAAGGTATAACTGAAACATAAAAATTAAAAATGCATTGGAAAGCTAAAGTGACAAATATTTTGAAACAAATAATTCTTTTAAATGCAGAACTTACGGACTAAATATTTCTTTTCACTAACTTGCATTTATTTATTGTGTTTTAATTCATGTAATTTCTCTACTACATATTAATAAAAATATTTCAACAAATAATATTAATTTTATACATAATTAAAAATAAATTTAACCAATTAATTATTATTTTAAAAAGTATAAAAATCTTAAATTGAACATCTAATATAAGAGCGAAGGAGTAATTGATAATATGAACATAAGTTAAACCTAGTGACACATCACACTTCTTCATTTTATGTCCACTTTGACACATAACAAATCAATTAAAAGATAAATTAAAAGTGCTTTAAAATCAAAGTTTTTTTATAGACTAAAATCAATGCGACTCATATTGAAGAGACATTTTTGCATACTTAATCCATAAAATATTAAAGAAAATGTTCTTCACACTTGATATAAAATGGCGCAAAATTGTACAAAAAACCACGGTCTTGCACAAAAAGCATTTATTGATGCTTAATTACTCACATTGAAAATTCCTTTCTAAACACCTAAAAGCATTAAAATTGCCCAATTTGAAAGCAAAGTATGGTGAGAAGTTGTTTCTGTAGAAGGAAAAGTATATTCCTATAACTTAACACAAGAATGTCCATTCCATAGGTAGAAACATAAAGAAAAAACAAGGTCTAGAAACATCTTCAACACTTACCTAAGGGCTATCACAAACATCCTGAAGTCTCATTTTTTTTGGAATTCTGATAGCTCATAGCTGTTTTGTGGAAATGAACGACTCAACCAACCAAGATATGGCTGTTTCCTTTGAGCATAGTGAGGATGATTATTATGATCTTGAAGATTATGACATGGATGAATCTCACTACTTCTATGTTATAAATGCAATATTGAGTGGGACAGCTAGGCTCAATATTCTCTTACCAACAGTGACAACTCTTGCCTTCAGCATTTTTGCACCTATCCTAACCAACGATGGCGAATGCAGCGTTCTGAATCGCTGGTTGACGGGCATCTTTTTATTTATGTTGGCAGTGTCCTGTGTCTTCTTCACCTTCACCGACAGCTTCATGACGGCCACTGGCAGGTTGTACTATGGAGTGGCAACATTTAGAGGAATATGGACTTTTTGCGGCAGCAGGAAGAAACCTTGCGTGCCATCGGATTACAGGCTTACTTGGTCTGATTTTTTTCATGCATTACTGTCCTTGCTCTCTTTTCTTGTTTTTGCAGGTTTGCACTATGATGTTGTGAAATGTTATTATCCTGGAATGCCTAGGAAGGTGACCAACACTCTTCCCCTTGTGGTTGGTTTTGTAGTGAGCATCCTTTTTGTAGTGTTTCCTTCTAAGAGGAGAGGGATTGGTTATCCATTTTTGCTGCAATCAGATCCTATGTATTCTAGACATTGAAACATATTTTTGTTTCTGCATTAACCATGCAGAATCAGAAGCTTGAATGTCACCTCTGATCAGAGATTTGTGACAACTCGTATCATAATCTAATACAGACTAAACAAAACATCGTTATGAATTGGGAAAAAGTCTGTGGGGATAGATTCATGAGAAAAAATAGTAAAAACAGTAACAAACTTGTAAAAAAAAAATTTTCATTTTGATAAATTTATCAGTAACAATACAAAGAGAATGATAAAAATAGATCAATTCCAGTGCAACGAGAATGTAACGAAAATGAAATACCAAGTACTCACTGTCAATGGCAACTAATTTCTCCTATACCATGATCGTACGAAAAAAAACATTTTGATGCAAACTCGAACTAGATATTAACACATATCTGCATTGATAGATAGGAAACATAAAGAACTACCTAAGTACATTGACATCGTTGTGGAACCAACACACCAGGTGGTTTTCTTTTCTCTCGGATTATGGCTTCTTTTATCATTGGCAGTTTTTGATGAACTTTCTTCCATATATTATTCACTGCACCATCCAAAGGTACAGGGCCAATTCCACCTGGATGACCATTATCATAGACAAACATGGGCTGTGCCCGAGCCATGTTTTGGCGGAACATGTCTTTCTGTTGTTTTGAAAAGCTTTGAATATGATTGACTAGCCAGCTTGGTTTAAGAGCATCACCAACTGCTACAAAAACTGAAAATTCTGTATAGTCCACCATACCTTCAAATGGGAGCTCAATGTTGTCGCTGACAATAACAGGTATGCAAAGACTCTGAATGGCATCAAAAAGTCGGCATGAAGTGGGTGTGTCCCCAGCTGGATGCAGGCAAAACTCCGATGTTCTCATCCCTTGTATTGATTGCTCTCGTCCAGTCGCATTAGGGAAGCCTTCCTCCATTATAACACCGGGCTCATTGTTCAATAGATCCCACAACTTCTCTCTAACCAGGCCTCCCTGTAATTTGAACAATTTGTCAATGAGATGAGCACAGAACAAATAAAGCATAGGCTTTTCAGGATTAGAAAGACTAGCATAATCAAACGTCTATTGGATAAATATCTACAAAAAGTGAAACCATAATGCTCATATTGCTATGAAGCTTTAAAAGGCAAGCACTGCATTGAAAAACTAGTAAGTGATGGTTTTTATCTAGAGGCATATCCAACTTCTTTTGAGAAGACAGGTAAAGAGTGATTTCACAAGTAAGAGGCACAAGAATAATTGAATAATAACGCTTTTGTTTTGGGGATGCCAACACTAGGGGCAATTTCAATACAAATTTAAGTCATAACATTTAACATAAAACAGCATATAATTAATAAATTGCAATTGATATTGCTACAACTACAGCTCACAAGCTAAGACTATCTGATAACGAAGTGTGTGTCATGAAAAATCCACATAAAACAAGTATCATGAGACAGAAAGAACAACACCCAACAACTTTCATAACAGAAGTGCATGACATGAAATCCACATAAAACAAGTATCATGAGACAGAGAGAACAACACCGAACAAATTTCACAACAGAAGTGCATGACATGAAAAATCCACATAAAACAAGTATCATGAGACAGAAAGAACAACGCCCAAACAAATTTGATCACTTAAAACCAAAGAGTAGTTAAAGAGTCCCAAAATAAATCATGAAAGATGCTAGAGTAAAGTTTCAAAAGAAAAAGCATGCAAGAAAGGCTATTCCAACTCCAAAAAGAGACAATACTAACCCGGTGCCTATGTTTGGCTCCTTTAAAATAAAGAAGGATGTGGCGCTTTTGGTTTTCTGACAAGTGCAAACTTGGTAGTAGATGTGTGTACGGAACAATCACGTCTTTAATTACAGAAACTTGAGTGTGTTGGATCATTTCAGATGAGCTACAGTTGGATGATTTGGAGTCAAGTCTATACCACCCACCGAAATCCACAACAAGGAGAACAGCCGGAGCAATCTCATCTTTAACATGCCACATTGCAACTGGGTCTGCCAAACAATGCTTCAGTTTTAACATAACCTGACAATTCCAAAGACTAACTCATAAGCAGGTAACATCACTCCACTTAATTTTTCTTATAGATTTATTTCTATACACGCATTAACCTATTAACCTAATAGCTTATGGAAACAGTTTATCTAGTGATATCAAATTATAACTTATATGAAGACAGTTTGAAATTATTTTATTTTTTGTTATGCAAGTATTTATTGCATAAGCACTTACATGATAAGAGCTTATGTTACCAAATAGGGCCTAAAATTCATAACTTTAACAACAAGAAACAAGGTTACAGATTTCAAGAGGAGAAAACATGCATACCAGTGATAACAAACACGTGATCTCGACCACCAGAACGGTTCCAAGCTTGAGTTTTCTTCACAAAATCAATAACCTCCCTCTGCCTCTGGTAATCCTCATTCCCAGCCTTCTTCCTGAAGACTCCTTTAGCCGTACCCAGTTGCAATTCAGCGCTGAGAGTAGCAAAAAATGGAACAAAGACCACATCAGCGTCACGTGCGTCAAGAACCCGTTTTGCGAACGACCCAGATCGTAATCGAGGAGGAGTCATAAGATCCCCTATGATCCAGTACTCCGCACTATACTGTTTAATAATTGGATTCTCCGGATACGGTGGAAATTCTAGGGTTTTACCCAAATTGGTGGATCGAATTTCACTGTCTGCATCACTGCCGATACGGGAATCGGCGTCGAAGGACCAGTAGCGGTTAAGGAGGCCGTAGTTGAGGGATTTGGGGAGGTCGGCGACGTAGACGTTGATGCCGGAAGAGGTGAGGGGTTGAAGAGGGAGAGAACGGTGTGAGATGGTTGTGGTGGTGGTGGAGGAAGAGAAGAAGAAAGCAAGAGAGAAAATGGAGATGACGGCGAAGAAAAGGAAAAGCGTGGAAATGGAAAAAGGGGCATTGTTGTTGTTCCTCTGAATTGGAGGCATTGCTATGTTGTGATTGTGTTTCAGTATTTCAAATTTGTGCAGTTTCAGAAATGGAGAAAGGAGCGTTGTTGTTATAAAACTCAATGTAAACTCTGAACAAAAAAATACTAAAAAAGGGTGATGCACTCAAAACTCTTAACTTAATTGTATAATATAGTAAAATATTTTTAGCAATTAAATCCAAAAAATCTATTTATTTAATTTTTTAATAAATTTAATCCATGTATATTAGTTTCTATATTAATGTTTATTTTAAATTAATAATAAGTAGTGACCACAGAAAATATGACCCAAATAATCAAAATGTGTGGTCCAATGCTCATATATTCATATTATTTGGCTTCACATATTCAAACCATGCGAATCATTAATTTATCACAGATGGAAGCATAAAACTCACATAAGCAAAGATGCTGCTCACAAGATTTGGTTTCTCATTTTAGAGTTTCACCTCACAAATAAAATGATGTACTGAGAAAACACCAAGAGATGAATGTGTTAGAGTTTATCGTTCCTATCTTGTTCCACAACATTAGTTTCCACAACATCAAGTGGGAAATCAAAAACTCAACAACATCACCAAGAATCTCATCAAACACAGAGTTAAAATTGCTGTAAAAAAAAAAAACCAATAGTTCTTCGTATTATCATTATCCTGAAAAAGAATCAGGAAAAAACCGTCCATGCGGTTGAAAATTTAACCCAAACTTATGTTACTAGTTACTACACATTTATTTTACTACAGCTAATTATTAAACGTGAATATTGAAGCAATATTCAAGTTTGCAAGGGTTTTGTGGATTTTCTTAATAAGGTCTTGTTGACTATTGATGAAGTTAATTTAAAAAATATTCACTCTTAATTTTTTTACGACAAAAGTGTGATGTTTTGAAAAAGAGAGAATGACGGTTGTGAGTAGGGGTGAAAATAAGTCAGGTCAATAATAGAAGCTTACGGCCTAGGCTTTTTTATAAGTCTATTTAATTAAAAAAGACTATGCCTTAGGCTATGAAAAAATCTTTAAAGCCTAACAGGTCAGCCTATTTAAATACATATGAATAAATTTTTTTTTATTATTATGTTATGTTTTATACTTTGAATTAAAATACATAAATAAAAATTGGTTAGTTTGAAGAACTTATGAAAATGAGATGAAAACACCTTATGAATAATGTTATAAATTGTTTTCGTAAGTTATCTTAAAGGCAAAATAATTTTTTTTGTCCCTTAACTTTAGCTCGGGGTTCAGTTTGATCCTTTAACTTTAAAAAGTGGCAAGTTGGTCCTCTAACTCTTAAAATGGTGTCATGTTTATCCTTCTGTCAATTGTCGTTAGTCAAAGTTTGAAAACAATTGTCACGTTTGTCCAGGTGGACTTGATGTTATTGACGTGGATATAAAATATCGTAAAATAAAATCCCATTTGAACTGGCTTTCCATTACCCAGAAGATAAGAGGATTGTTCCAACGAAACATTGAAGACGATTCAAATTGTTTCAGGCGCAAAGGATTGAGAGCGAAGGATTGAAGACGATTGAAGGAGACATTATCAAAAGGTTAGTTCGTTTCTCTCTGATTTAGGGTTTACCAATCTCATAGGGCAATATCTGCTAGAGGTTCAGATTTAGGGTTTATGTAAATTTTGTAGTGTAAACTCTAATTATTTAGATGATATGATTAGGTATCATGGATGAATACATAACTCTCAAAATTCATCATAGTGGTGAGTTCATCGATGAAGGTCGTAGTGTATATGAGAATGGGATAGTAGATGATTTGAGAGTAGATGTAGACAAATGGAGTTATTTTGAGCTAGTTGGTGTATTGAAAAACTTGGGTTATAGGGAGTTTGAAACAATATATTACAAGGACCCTCAATTTGGGATGAATGCACTTATTCATGACAATGGTGCTTTAGAAATTGCAGATCTTTATAGGGTGCACCAAAATGTTGATATTTATATTGAACACACCTTGTATCAACCTGACTATTGTGATGTTGTTGTTGATGAAGTTGATGAGGGCCCTGCTGAAATTGTAGATGAGGTGGAGGATTTACTTAGTCAACTGCATGATGAAGTTGTGGGAGTTGAACAAACCACTGTTGTGATGGAGGAAGGTGATGTTAGAGTTGATCAAGTCACTGCTGGGTTGGAGGAAGGTAATGTTGGAATTGATCAAGTGAATCTTGCAGTGGATGAACATACTGTTGGAGTTGAGGAAATTAATGTTGGAGTTGAATAAGGTAAACCTGCAGGGAAAGAATGTAATGTTGGAGTTGGAAAAGGTAAACCTGCAGTGGATGATGACTTAAGTTTATCTTCTGATGATAGTGAAGATGATGAATACAATTATAATAGTGCATAAAAAGTGGCTTTTGAGGATGAGTCTAATGGGTATGATGAGATTGAGGAGGATGAACTCGATACCCTAATTGGTTATGAAAATGATGGTAATGGAGAAGTCCAAGAACTTAATGATAAGTCTTTAGAAGATAAAGGGAGTGACAATGACAGTGAGGACATGCAAAGTGGATGTGGCACTGATGATAGTAGTGGAGTTCTAAGAAAAAAGCATCCAATTTTTAGACAGCCAAAAGACATGTCAGATTACAAGTGGGATGTGGGAATGTATTTTAGTTCAAAGGATGATTTTAGGGAAGCAATAACATCTTATGCTGTGCAAAATGGTAGAGACCTAAGGTTTGTAAAAAATGACAAAGTTAGGGTAAGAGTTAGATGTAAAGTTGGTTGTGAGTGAGAGGTTTATTGTAGCAAGTTATCAAATGAAGACACTTGGCAACTCAGGAAAGTAATTGACAAACACAGTTGTAGTAGAGAGTATAATGTGAAGTTGATGAGTACAAAGTAGTTGAGTAAAAGAATTCAGAATAGCTTGAAAAACAATCCAAGGTTGAGTATAAAGGATATCAAGGAGAAGGCACAAAAAAAGTGGAATGTTGGGGTTAACAAAACTAAAGCTATAAGAGCAAATTTTGTAGCTAGATATTATGTTAATGGTTCATTTTTTAGAGATTACACAAGGATATATGACTACTGTCGTGAACTGCTAAGAACCAATCCAGGGTCAACAGCTAAGATCAATGTTGAGCTTGTACAAAAAGGTGTTGAGGATCAAAGACCATATTTTAGAAGGCTTTACATATGCTATGCTGCGTGTAAGGAAATTTTTAAGTTGTGCAGGCATGTAATATGTCTAGATGGGTGTTCTCTGAAGGGGTTGTATGGAGGGCAGATTCTAGCTGCCATAGGGAGGGATCCTAATGACCAGATGCTTCCCATAGCATATGCAGTTGTGGAGAGTGAAAACAAGGATAGTTGAACTTGGTTTTTAGACTTGTTAATTGACGACCTTGGAGGAAAAGATCAATGCCTGACTTACACCTTCATCTCAGACCAACAAAAGGCAAGTTTTTCATTTATTCTTATGGTTTTATATTTTTTTTGTTATGTTATTCCTGTTATGCTATTGCAGGGTCTGCTACCTACTACGGATGAGATATTGCCAAGGGTGGAGCACATGTTTAATGTTAGGCGCCTCTATAACAATTTTAGGAAGAGGTTTCCTGAAAAGATGTTGAAGGACATAATATGGAAGGTTGCCAAGTCAACATACCCACATGCATAGGAAAGAGAGATGAAGGGAATGAGGGTCATCAATGAAGAAGCATTTAAACATATAATGAAGATCCCACCAAGGTTTTGGAGTAGACCTTACTTTAGGACTGAAAACAAATGTGATGTTATTCTCAACAACATGTTTGAATCCTTTAATAGTATCATTCTTGATGCAAGGGCAAAACTTCTAATCACTATATTGGAAGACATCAGAATATACATGATGGAGAGATAGGAAAATAACAAAATGAGATTTGGTACTTCAGATGAGAATGATATATTGCCCAATATTAGAAAGAAACTTGATGTCACAAGCACATACACCAATAACTAGATAGTAAGGTATTTAATATCAGCATACATTAATTATTTAGGATGTTTATAAAATACAATCCAAACATGTGACTCATATATTCTGTTTGTTTAATTCTTTAGGATGTCTGATGAACATATATTTGAAGTAAGGCACTTGGTAAATCAAGCTGGCAAATTTGTTATGAACTTGAAAGATCATATATGTTCATGCAGAAGATGGGAACTCACATGACTCCCATGTGTTCATGCTTTGTCTGCTATGAAGAGTAGGAATTTCAAAATTGATACTTACATTCCAGATTATTGTAGGGCTTCAAGGTAAAAGGCAGTTTATAAGCATGTGATCTACCCCGTTAATTGATCAAACTTGTGGGTTAAGACACCATATCCAGATGTGCAACCACACAAGTTCAGGAAGATGCACGGTAGACCTAAAAAGAGGAGGAACTAGAACAAGGTGAAATTGATGGGTCTGATTGCAAATTGAGAAGAACATGTTTTATGGTGAAGTGTAGTAGGTGTAAGAAAGTCGGGCACAACAAGTCTACATGTAAGGACACAATAACTCAGACTACTTACAATCAGCCCAACACTTTCATACTCCAATTCAGACTACTCAACAATCAGACTAACACACTCCTACTCCAACAACTTAGCCTACTCAACAACCAAGCCAACCCTCTCAGAACACAATAACACACACTGCTAAGGGAACTTCTTCTCAACAATCTATCCAAGCATCTCAGACTTTTAAGGGAAAGGTTGTTCAGAAGACACATGGACCTGCTAAAGGCAAGACACAAAAGTTGCCTGTTAGGAAGCTAACAAGACCTTTTGTACCACCTGGGCCTACAACTAGGTTGAGTGCTGCCAAGAATGTTGTTGGCTTAGTAGCAAGGAGGTCTACTCCAACAAAGAGGACCACGCCAAATGAGAAACTCTAGATATAATTAGGCTATCCTGTCATGTGGATTCACTTTATGTATTTTGCTGTATAATTAGTTTATGTTTTTTACTGTTGTTTGGAACATGTGTATTATAAGTTTA